GAACTAAATGTATATAACTGCCTTACTCTAAGTCTAATTTGATTTAATAGGTGTATTTTGGGTGGTGAACACGTATGGGAAAATATACTCTTAAAACTAAAGATGTAAGTAGTAAGATATGATTATTTAGCGGATTTTGATTCAATATATGCCTATCCATAAACCCAAATGGGCTGTAACTGTTATTTATTTTTCTTAGACTGCTGATAACCATTTTGTTTACAACGCGGTGTGGTGTGGATTGAATGAAAAACCTGAACACATTTTCAGCAATTTAGCAAATTTTTAATGCATCGCTTGATTGATACGTGCAACATCCTCCACAATTTTTTCTAGTTAAAAGCTTTGAATAACTCTCTGATGCGAATATAGCATCTGCACATATGGAACATTTAACAGAGTTAGCTATTTTTCTTGTAACAAAACCTGAAATATACTTACTACCAGTAAGTACTTAGTTACGTCTATACCTAATAGGCAAATAGGTATTTCCGTTGTCTTGCTGGTAAAAGATGTCTAATAATAGTTCTACGTTATTTTAAACGGGATATTAAGTGAATGGGAAAGTCGAAAACGCTCGGTATTGCATTATTGTTTAACACCTTCGTCGGTACCTTTCTAAAATCGGCTTCATTCCCCGCAAATGCACTATGGCGGGAGTAAATTTTTCTTTTCGAATGGCTCTGATCCATTGACCCTTTAAATTTTTATCGTTTGGAAATCTGCATATTATTTAAAATTTTATCTACAAAGTACATGTTGATACGCACGAGTTAACCTAAGTTTATTGGTTTATTCTCAACAGAAATTTATCTGTTTACTAATTCGAGCTAATCACGAGAATGATTAATGAACGGAACATCTAAAATAAACCAGCCTTACTTCATATGATTTGCCACATCATATCTGCGCTTTTTGCCCCGCCGTGTATTGCTGTTGCTTGCATTACTGTGTCGACAACAACTATAGACTACGCTTAAGCCCGCAGTCTAGTTATAGGCAAGTCTTTCTTGTTTTGCATAGTATGTCAGACGGCGACTCAAAATATTCACTGTCTTAAAGTGCGTCACCTGGCTGATATTTTGCTAATTCCGATTCTTGACATGCAGCGACTGAATATCGGTTTCGTGCTCATCTTTTGCTAAGCCGTTGCAAATGTGTTACCTCTCGGAGACCATCGATGCCGTATGCCGATGCCGACACCGTTGGCGTTTGGTCTTGAACGAAACTTTTAATTTTGTACTCATATACGAAAACATAAACATTTCCAATGTTAAAATGGAACAGAAAACTTGCTGCTTACTTTAACTGTTTTCTAATAATTATTTCTTTGTTACAGGTATGGTATTATCCTTGATGCCAGATTCCTTTCTTCAACCTTCGCTTAATTGGCAAGTAATTTATACAGAACTGATAGAATTGTACGATACCTAATGATTGCGTTTCAATGACAACACTGATATTCTCTAAACTGTATCCAAATCGAAAGCTTTATCAATGAAAAACAATCTAAAAGTGCGTACAGTATCAAATAATGGATTTTTTCAGTCGTTGGCCTGATTTTATAATTAGGTTCCACCTCGGGTTCCACATATAAAATCATAATGAAACTTGTTCATTAAAGATTGCGTTTCTGTTTAATTTATTGCGGGTATGTGTGTTATTAAGGGTTTGGTTAAAATTTCATCAAAAGTATTTCGTGACGTACATCATAACATTAGGTCCAGTTAACATTTATGGCGTACTGAAGTGGCTGCTCGATTATGACACTGAAGGTTCATGGTTCGAATCCGGATTTTACCCCGATTTTTTAAGTGTAATGTATAGTGGGTTGTGTTGGAAGAACAGCTTTGGGAGAAATCCCGCCCACTTAAAAAAGTGAGATAAAAGAATGATGACTGTTGGAATAATTAAATTAGCTAGCTATGACTATTATCGTATAAAATTAAAATGGATACATTTGATACAAAAATGGAAACGGTGAAAGGCGAAGACAACAGAAGACGGAAGGGACAAACCTTCAATGATAAAGAGAGATACATAAAAGAGAACGTGCAAAGGAAATTAAGGCTTCTAAGGCTGTGGGTATGCTTATTAGGTAATGGTAGTGTCTGGAACCCTTTGGTTGAGTCAACCCCCCTCGCTGGTATCAGACACCTACAAAGTGTTAAAATGTCATGTGCCCGATTCACTTAGTGCCATCAGAATCTTTTAGACAAAACCACCCTGAATTTCATGTAACTTCACAGATCGCTACTTTTGGATGTTAGTCTACAAATCTTCCTCGCGGCATCCTAGTCGGAACCATTAGAATCTTGTAATGTGCAACTGTGTTTTTTTATGCCACACTGCTTTTATTGGTGTCAATGCACTCTACTTGTTTTATAGGTGTCTTCATCCTCCCATTCAGTATGGTGGATAATGACACCTACATCTGAATCTGAATTTTATTCATGTTACTTGAGTATAACTATTAAAAACTGTCTGACTACAACTGAGGACACACCTTTTACTAGTTAGTTTAAGACGTGATTTGTTATATTCTAACGAAGAAAAATATACAAAAATTACGATTTATAATTTGCCGTAAGTAAATTGGTATTTTATACATCTTTGATATCTGCTACCTGCCAAAGCCACGATGACCCAAAGTACATAGTACTCCCATCGTACCTACCTATGTTGCAAGCTCTTGCTCTATTATCAATTCGTCCCAAACTATAGGATCTGTCGCCTAAATTATTTTATGACGTTGACACCGTCAGCTATCACACACTTGCGGGTGAACAAACTCGCGGATCACTTACTCCAGCCGAACGACTTATCTGTATCTCACATTCCATGATAAGCATAACGGCGTCCTTCAAAAATACATGATAAATTGACACATTAACAATACAATATGAGTTGTTTACAATATACACCCACTCCTCTAAATTAGGAATAAAAAAGTAATATGCTTTGAATCGAAAAAAACCGTTACACTTTGCTATCAGAACATCTACAGGCAAGCATGCACAATCAGGACGTTTTAGGCACCACACTCTTTTTGGAGCTCTCGTAGCCTAAGAGGCATCGTTAAATCCATACCACCTGTCTCGGGGCACTCGAGCTTTTAAACTTTACATGCGAGTTTGTTTCCTGTATTGGAAAAATTTACTGATGTCTTAGCTTCATGTCTTTTATGATTTGATTCAAAGTTCCGTTTAAAATAGAACACAGTAATTGTTCAAACGCAAACGTGACGTCTTTAACCGCAAGCACTTAACGGTATGGGAATCGGCAGAAGTTTAAGCTTTGATATCTTAAAAGAAAACTTTCAGGATACGTCTATTTTCCTTCTAAAAAAAGCAAAGTTAAAAAAAGAGATTCGGTAAATGGTCTTTAATTGTCTACTTGCTCACAGCCCGAGACGTTTGTAGCATCGCCTTCTATAGTAAAACTAATGGTATTTCGTTTTCTAACATTAAAGCACCAATAATCTTTAGTAGCATATCTTTGCGACACAATATACGTTATCCTCCCTGACGAGCTCAATAACAGTTTCGTAAATCCCCAAAAGTTAGAGAGAACTCGTACTGTTTTACGATAATGGAATTGAAAGGATGCGCTTACAATTATTTTTAACAATTTTAATTCGGAGAAAGTCCTCTTTAGGAAGTGAAATACTGTGAGATATTATGCAAGATCGTGTCGAAATATCAAAGCTACAAACGTATCTATTAGGTACTTTTGTATAGAAAAATTAGCTGTTTTGAGCGGTAGTAAAATTAAGGATGAGTTGGCTAAAATGGGAAATTTTCCATTTCATTTTTCGTTAAAAACGAGATTAAAAACTTTTTAAAGGTATTAATAATGAGCGCAAAAGATGATTTTCATTATCACGAAATTAGGGTATCATACAAAACTTGGTGTGAGATGAAAAAAGTTTTAAAAAATTCCAATTAAGAATTAAATTTCGGAAAATAAGACGTTCCATAGAAGCGCAACAAGGATACACATCATGACAGAATGCCGATAACTTTTGGGATTCAAACACGCCGTTTCGAGTACATTAGATGAAGATCCGAAGGTTTGGACGGACGTAAACTTTCGAAATTAATGAATCCGTTCTTTCGTCTCAATTCTTTCTTTTACATGTGGCTTGTTTCTCCTTGAACATTCGCGATGATAAATTGTTTCGGGATTTTAGTACAAAACCTTTTACATTTATTGAATTTCGGGAATGCTGTCTGTTTAGCAGCCAGGCATCCATCAAACTACGCCTAGGAAATGGAAACTGATGGGATACTCATGCGTGTCAGAAAATTTGAGTTATGTATTCATTCGATTACTATATTGTTCTTAGCTCAGCTCTGTAGTTTTCGTGATTTTAAAATCGAATTCCGTTGCGAGAGGTTACATCAAACTACTTAGTTTAATACTAGATTGACAAGGAATCGTTATTTTTTCACTGTTTTCACGTTTTCGCGCACGATGCTAGGAGCAACTTTACTATTAATTGACCGTAAAAATCTAGTACTTCGCGCTTCGAAATTTTTCAGAAAATGGCAGGTTTTTTTGACAATTGTAGAAATAGTTATTTACATAAAAGTCTGGAAAATGATACATTACTGGCGAGGAAATATTGAAATGCGAGGCGAGGCCGAGTACTTTAATTTCCGAGTTAAGTAATGTCATTTTACTGACGAGTTTTGTATTAAATTTTACCCGAAATCGTATTTTAATATAAAATTTCAATTGTTAATTAGAACTTTTGATTAATGTCAATCAGTCAGTGATGACAGGAATTATTATAGACATTTGGAAATGTAACAAAGGCGACTGGTAAAGTGACCGATGCGGTCAGCAAAGTGACAAGCGGCAGGAAACGTAGTCTGCTCTGCCTCTGTCATGGAAAGTAAAATTTCCTGACAGAAAGTAGGCATGAAATTGAAGGTTTCAGGGCGATTTTGGGTAAAAGGTATTATATACGTGATACATTAAAATTAAAATATTACCTGATGCATTTGCAACCCTCTTTTGTTATCGTTTTTACGCACTAATTGGTTTTTATTGTACCTCTTTGTCACATATTTCGCTTCGCTAGCTTCACAGTACGAGCCTACAATCGAACGGTCGCGTAATTTAACCATCGGTATACACTCAAAATATTGCGTGGCAAAAATTTGGGTAATATTCTAGGGAACAGTTTGGCGCATAATGAATTTGCTGCTAAGCACAAAATTACGCCATATTTGACAGTTGTGTAAACGTTTTGATTAAGAGTAATTGTCACAGGCACTGAACAGTTTAATAGAGCGCGAAGGAAAGTATTTGTGCCAAATGGGGTAGACAGACAGAAAGGTCAGACACAATAATTGAACACCTTACAGATGTAAGATTGTAAAATGGTTTGTAAATTACATATCGGTTGGAAATGTGAGGTTGGAGTTCATTCATAATTCCTTGTACGTAAAAGGAAAAGGTTGGATAAAATTATATTTGCAAGGTTAGAATAATATTTATTTAGGATGTAACGCCTAATGTTATCTTTGAATTTTCAGTTATTCGTGTTTTAACTCAATACTTGCGTAATTAACTTACTTTTGTGGCAATCCGAGGACCACAAAAAAGGTAGCAGTTCGAACGTGAATGAATTTAACTTGATGGAATGTGTAATATTTTTGAATAAATTGTTAAAATTAGTTTGTAATTATAAAACGACGCTAATAATTCGGTTTCGGTGTGTGACATTGAACTTGTTTAAGCTTGTGGTACACTTAAAATAACGTATATTGAGGGAGACTTTTTAAAGCTAATTGAAAGCAGACGATAGATGTTATGTAAACAACCGCATGTAGACATTTTGTTTGAGCTTGGCACCTATAAGAATAATGGACCGCCCTGTATGTGGAATATCAACCTTTTTATAGTGTTTAAGTTATTAATTGCCTTATACCTAGGTTGTTTATTTTGATTTATTTATTTAATTGTAAAATGTGAAATTACGTGTTAAAAAAGATAGGAATATCTGGACTTAAAATAAAAAAATATAAAACAAAATTGTGACTCAAATAAATAATAAAGGCAAACTGTTTGCGTTGGTTTTTTTTTTAGGCAAAAAATAATCTAGGGGAGGAAAATGGGATGGGGGCTAGGTTGTAACAATCAACGATTGAAAATATATAATTACCAGACTGCTTAATGTACTTTAGCTGGTTGTTGCGATATCTCACATTACAAAATGGCAGTAATTATAATGGTTAATATCATGGTTGTATTCCTTTTTTTATATGGGGGATGATTGGGGACGGAACAAGAGGGGAAATACAAACAATTTGTTTAATAACAGTACCAATACTTGCTGTTTACATTGCTGGGTCCTCAGGTGATGTTAAGGGTAGCGTTATAGCGTAGGGGACGTAGAGAACAAGGAGAAAATAGAATGAAGAAGAGTAAAGGAACGAAACTTAAGCGGTAGGGGACGTACAGAATAGAAAAAGGAACAATTAAATAGGGAAACTGAGACGATGGGTAAACGGCGTCTTCTTATCTTCGGAGCCGGCTGATGGTGGTCGTCCAGGGACTGCTTACGTTGAAGATTGTAGGAGACACCAGTACAGTAAATAAAAAAAGAAGGCCAATGTGTTGGATGCCTTAAAGAAGAGTCATCCGGTGTGCGACGAACTACTGGAATTTAATGACAATTAGAAACGGAAGCGCACACTCTAGGATTGTAATAATAATCGTGGAACAATTAAACTGCGTGAATTGAGAATACCGTTAAATCCTCAAAATATGGGCGGCTCGCAATAATAACACTTTCGAAGGCGACAAAACAAAATAAAACTAAAACAGAAAAAGGAACGTAACATCCTCACTATTGTACTTAACTTATGTAGGTGAATGCGTCCTAATTACTGCGGAATCCTCAATTAAGGATCCAATCTTCAGAGATTACTGTATATTGATGATGGAATTCCATGCGTTCTAACTAACGCTTTCAACTGTTTGAGTAACTGGATATGGTTCTTGACAGAAAGAAAATGAAAATCGACACGCACTGCGCGGTAAAATTGCGTTGTTAAATTCCAACAATAAAAGTTACGAGGACTTTCGATAAGTAAATATACCGTGAACAATAATAATGCTTTGTAATGGATAAAATTAATCGTAACACTTCCTCGGTTTTGAGGTAGATATGCTGGCTCCAATTCAGTTTTTTGTCAAGTGTACTTCCTAGATATTCCACCGACTGAAAATTGAAGGTGTTTTTGGAATAGCACAGGAGTTCGAAGACCCTCTACCGCTCTTTTTCGGAAACGAGCTAGCTCCTTTTTTTCTGGTTGATGGACAAGGAGTGTTCCGTACACCATTCTTCGGTTATTCTAAGAGTGAGCTGATGCATCATCAGTCTGCACAGAGTAGCCTCAAATTTGTCCGTTATTAGTATGAGTATATCATCCGCATACTCCAGCGTATAAGTAACCACTGCCATTGCTTCGACAGAGGAGGCTTTTTACAATTCAGTTAAGTAATGGCAATAGCACCCCACCTAGGGGCATCCTCCTATTACTTTGCGCCTTATTATTTCGTTGGCAACGCTGATAGATTCACTTTCTTTAAGCTGTGGTGACGTAAAGCCATTTCTAGTGTTTCGAAGGTTGTTTTGTCAAACGAAAACTTTTGTGAACCTTTTGTTACACTTTTATTTAGGCGGGATGTAGAGGAGGTGGATATAGAGCTCCAAAAACTCTTCCATGCCTCTCTCTAGCACCTCCTAATATCCCTCTTATACAGCCTTAGATTTACCTTATAGGCCTACCAATCGGCTATAGCTATGCTCTTCTTTTTAGTTATTGAACAGTTTGCTCAACTGAGTTTTCTGCTTTTCGAGGGCTCCACACCACCAGGGGTCGTTAGAGGGCGTTTTGGCAGCCCTCTGAGGATGTGCCTGGCCAAATGACTACATAATGCAGTAAGGTGTCTGCCTAAAGTGACAGCAGCCACCCTACAGTGTTGCACGTTTATTTGCATAAAATTCTCTTTCATGCATGTACGTATGTATGTAGACAATACCTGTTTATCGTTGATCCGGCGATGCTAGAACCAGACCCCAGCAGCGCCTTAATATTTGCAAAATCATCTCAGTTCGAAATCGGCCCGGGTCGTAACGGTGGAGCAAGCACTGACCACAGATTCTCTAGGCTGCTGGTGTGGTGATGGTTGTACTGACATACTCTTCACTCAGGTTCTGCAGGGTTACTAACCCTCACCTTTAGATAGAAAAACCCATAACTGAGCCTTTTCCCCTGGCGATTAGGTTAGTCTGGTCCTTTTTGTCAATGCTGCAAAGTATCTATCAGCCTCCCTTGAGGTTGATCCATCACGGCTGTGTGGAAGAGACACCAGCTGTCTACCTTTGCCCGGGAATTCTGCACCTCCAAGCTCTGCTTGACAGCCACCAGGTCGTCAGGTTTCCCGGGGTCCCAGATGGCAGCCTTGTGAAGCCTAGGAAGGCAATCTTCGTGTACTGCCTTTAGGTGTACAGTCTCCCACATTTGTTGGAGGTTGCCAACCACCACCTTTAACCACTCAAGGGAAGGGCAGCTATGGTTGCGCGATGCCCCACGATTACTGACACCCGTCTTTGGTTGAGGCTGTGGTCTGCCCTTCGATGTTGAGTCATCCGACCTTGCCTTATCGGCTCTGGGTTAGGGTTGGGTCACAGGAAGAAGAGCCCAGCCCGACCTTCTTTCTCTTCTTCATCTCAGCGCCGGAGATACGCTTGCGTGGTTTAGTGTGTTGTTGAGGCTCGGTGATCCGTAACATAGGCTGAGGGGTACCATAGGGCGCGCCCTCTGGTTTATTATTTTTATTAGGCCCTATGCCAGAAGAGTGTAAATTCACCCCCTTAGCTCTCCAAACACCACGGAGGGGATGTCTATCCAGACGCCAGGGCTACTAGAAGAATATAGCTTCTAACTAAAGGGTAACAGAATTAATTTCGCTTTGGAGTAGGTCACTTGAGAACGGCCTACCTTCAGTTAGTCAATCTGTTGTCACTACCCCACAGATATGCTCACCCAGTCGGTGGTATATAATAATCGTACTTCAAATTAAATATAAGAAAATCTTACCAGGATTAATGTAATTTTATAAGGCTTTAAGCTGTTTTAACTTTTAACCATAATAGTGCTTCAGGAGAAATGTGATGAATTGCTTCACAAAAGCCGATGACACAAACGATTGACCATGGTGGGTTAGTAATGACTTCCGACCAAAGTACCTAGTGTGTTGTCGCCATGTTAGGTAACTCAACTACCAGGATCGGTCATCCACTATTCTCACTTGGAGCCGTCATATGCCGGGGCGAGCTTGGCGTTACATACTCCCTTGATCTCTGAAGCACTCAAGCCCCACAACCACGACGAGGCTCAACACCGAAGGGGGAAGCCGAGTTACTCTAAAAATAAGTACGAAATGAGCACACATTTTTTCAGCACGAAAAAATTGCATACGTAGGTAAACCTCAAAAAGTACTATGTGATAAAGGTGGCTACTCCATTGTAACGGACCTCAAATACAGGGGGTAAGTTTTTGGACCGCTGCTTTGTGATCGCACGCTGTATAATGTAAAATATTTTTGAAATACACAAGCAGAATATTTTACCATATCATAATACAAAAACTCCTCGACAAATCCTTCCCTGAGCTATAAAGTTCTGGGAGGAACCAATTTTGGTATGGAGGATAGAAAAAACATCATCCATGTAATGAATCAATCCTTCAGGAAAATAATCCAAATCTTGTTGTAAATTAGTCTCATATTTGTCCATGAAACACAGAAATCACGGTGAAGGATATTGTTGATCTATCAGGTACATGGTGAATTACATATCTATAGCTGTAGAATAATAGATTGGAAATAACATGTGTGTTGATATTATTACATCTCTGAAAGCACAAAGCATTAGCGACCGTCACAAGCCTTTCACATCGGCATTGCATTGTAATTGAAAATTCCATAATTAAAAACGTTGACTAGTAGTTATTTGATTAAATACCAGTCAATGAGTAATTTACTTTTTGTGAAAATTCTTGAATAATTAATTTTTCAAAGTATATAACTAAAACGATCCCAGCGCTTGTGGGTAGCGCCATGAAGACAATAAATGAAATAACAGCTTCAAATCTGCGAGTATTAACAGTAAGAATAAATAATTTTCAATTCTAAATATGAATGAGAAAATATTTGTTCGTGTTGGTACTAAAGTCGTTGTTATCCTACTTGAAATTCAGTTAGTGTATACCAAATTTAATATTTTGAAGCACTTCGAGTCGGGAAACTTATTCCGTTCTAAAATGTCAACACTACTACTATATATTTTAAGCACTTCAGAAAAACGTTTCTCGAATCATCTAAGCACAAATAGAAAAGGCTTCCGTCGTCGATATTGACGTTAGGTAAGTAATTGCCGTTATTATCAAACTTGTGGAGTGCTAACCAACTTCTACTCAATAAAATATGTCGCGTAAAAGGTTTCATCAAACCTGAAAATGTGAACATTAAAGCAGGCGTTCATTTCAAAATTTGATATACACTATTACAAATTCCAGTTCCAATTATCGCCATTCTCCCATGCATGCCATTTTATATTTGATGCTCAAATCCAAATATGATTTACCGCGGTGATAGCATGTAAGTGAATTTGCCTAATTGCGTTCAGTTTCTTCATTACATCATGTATAGAAATCGAAGGCAATTCCACAATTTAAATTGTGCCCAGTGCAAACAATGATGTATTGAAATGAATTACATAAACGTTCAAGTGGTCAGCTGAGCACTGTTCCATTTCGGCAATCGATTTCCATTCACCATCAGCGCTTGTGTCATCAGTAAATCAAACACACTCGTGTTCCAGAAACTTGACAAAGGCGTGCAGAAACCGTTCACATTGAAAAAATAAAAGTTGGTATAACAACCAAAATTTGATCAAATATTGACAGCTTTTAGATAAAAAAGTTTTCTTAACGTATTTCCTGTAATATTAGGTATGCTCTTATTTGTGTGTTGTTACGCATTTGCAAAATTGGGGCTTCTACCTTTAAGTTATTAAAGTGCAGGGGGCGATACGGTCCGCTAACGTTATTATTCGGTGATCTGTGGGTTTGTAATCGAATCTAGCATATCCCAGATTATCTTCGGGATCATCTGTCCTGTGTTATGATTGCACAGATATCCTTGCAGATCCGCTTCAGGTTTAGTTTTTGCACTTCGAATTTCGCATTGCTTGTGACCTTAATTTCTAAGCATCGCTGCTCTTCAGGATTTTAATATTTTGAATATCTACCATGGAGGACAAAGTCGCGACACTTCTGTTGTATTGGTCCTTTCATCACTTGTACACAATCTATTATGAAAAAAAAAGATGCCAAGTTTTATTACAACAAAAATTGAGAAAAAAAATGTCAAAGTTAAAAAATTAAAATTTTTTTTTCGGAAAAACTAAATTCTAGTTCGGAATTACAATTATTAATTATATGTTACTTTGTGACATTAAAATAAAATCTAAAATCAATAGACAAACATGAGCAAAAAAAGGCAAGCGGCGTTCCCAAGCGGTCACCCATCCCAGTACTGACCACGCTCGAAGGTGCTCATATCATTTGTCTCATATGCTTTTTCTATGTCCAGTATCAGCATCACTGTAGTTAATTTTTTGTTATAGTTATAGGTTATCTCCGTTACTATTCTTGCTGTGTGGTGTTACGTTCCTTTTTGAAACCAAACTGACTTGCGTCGTTTACTTTTACTGTTGTCTCTGTTTTATTAAGTCTGTCGTACATGATTTTTTCTATCAGTTTACCGACCATGGATAGTAGGTTATTAATTAGTGGGATTATTTCTCCTGTCTTCCATTATTTAGGGTATTGTTAGTTTGAGTATGGCGTTAATTATTTACGTCAGTTGGGCAATTGCTTTCCTGGGTGGGTTTTTTATTCTCTATCATATCTAGTCCCGGTGCTTTGTCATTCGGGAGCTTTCTTATGTATTTTTTTAGTTCTACGAGTGATGTAATGTAAGTTTTCAATAGTGTTGGTTGTTTATTTCGCTTAGTGAACTTTTGTACCACTTTCCTGATTTGTGCTTGTTCTTGGGTTTTAGTTTTTGTGTGCATTTTCCAGGGTTTCGGCAAAGGCGTTGGCTTAGTCTGCGTTGTTCATGTAAGTTGGTTTCGTACTTTAGGCCCTATTGGGGGCATCCTTTTTTAAGCCATTTTCCAGAAGTTGTTGTCATTTGGATTTACCTTTTGTAATCTTTTTCCCCATTGGTCGGTTGCGGATTGTTTCAGGTTCCGTTTTATTTCTTCATTTAGGCTTTGCATAATATTTTTTGCGTTTATCACTGTTTCTTTGCCATATGTGTCTCAGTCTATTCCTTTCTTTTATTTTGTCCGTTGTTTAAGTTGGTTTCTTGTGATTTTTTGTTAGTGT